AGGATGTCTAAGACTTTGAAAAACTGAGAGGAAGAAGAGAAATGCAAACCAACCCACTCTGCTGCTGAACAACGTACACATCCTAGAGGGAGACTCAGACACATCTTCACCAAATCCTACTGCCTAATTTAAACGCCACAAGCACCCACACCCTCCTGAAAATTCCAGCACTGCTAACTTTTTATAGTCTTAATGTCTTAAATACAATAAATGGCCATCGTACTGATGGTAATTGTTTGTATTTGTACTCCCAGCTTATTCAGTATGCAAATCAAACATGCTTGTTTCATGTGCTGTGCTACCACGCCACTAAAAAGCTTTGTGTGTTGTGCTGTCTACTGAATTCTTGTTCTTAATTAAGAAGTTTACTATAATAAATATTAAATATACCCTTTTTAAAATATAAGCTTGCATATACCTCCTGCAACAGAAGATTCCCAGAGTTTTTTAGAGAGTAAACAGCCTCTCATGAGAATGGCAGAATCAGGAAACATTCCTTTTTCACATATAATCACATGAGCCAATTTCTTTCTCTCATTTGTTAATGATACAAAAGGCACTTTCCAAAAACAGTTTACTACACTAAAAAGAAATATTGGCAAAATAATTAATTTCTACCTGTCTTGTATTTTAGTGACTAGAAACAAACATAAGTAGCAGCATGTAACAGACCAATTCTCTACAGATTACCAGCAATACCTACATGTTTTAATAAATATTCTGATTTATGTATCCTGTTCTATAAGATTATTTCTGAACATAATAGATGTAAAAGAAAGAAGAAAAGATACACAATGCTGAACAATGTGATAATAAGTCTATGATTAACTAGGCAACTTAAAAGTGAATCCATGGGAGGACAGCATTATGTCATCCTAAATGCGTTGATATAAATAGTCAATTTAACATGAAGTTAAAAATGTGGTGTACCACATCACAGATGTGGCCTACGGAATTTTATTCACAGTTAGTGGCTCTCCGTTTTTTGCTGAAATGAATGAGACACTTCAGAAACTTTTATTTTGTAAGTATCTCTACGTGTATGTGAAGCCACAGTTTTTATGTGGGATATTTTCTTACATCATGCCACAGAGATGACCACTATCTTGTATTAGTTGATACCAAAATAATAAGTTATCTTCCAGTTTCGAGGCTCAGTGTCAAACACAATACAAATTCAAGGGGAAAAGTGCTCCCCAGGTAGCAAAAAGCTGTAGATAGCTTTAACAAGTGACTAATTCAAGCATCTACCATTAATCTGGTGTGAAATGCACCTCTGAAATCCAATCAACAGATTTTGCATTTACTGTAGTTGTGACAGAAGTCAGTGGCCTCAAAATGTTTTCACCTCTCAGAAGTTGTTAAGGTTTAAGCAAAAATGTCTGTTTAAGCAAAATCTTTACATCATAATAACTAACCCAAATCTGTTACTCTCTAAAACACATACATGCAAGCCCTCAGTAATTTGAAGAGCTGCCTGCCAGGAAGAAATTCACACCCTTGAGGCAGAAGCGCCACATCAGACATAGTAGTTCTAAAGAAAATGCAGACCTAGACATGCCCAAAACAAAAATAAGGCAGCCCTGTCCTTCAGCTGGGAAGTCTCACAGTCCTGGATTTGGCCATGTGAGGTGGCAGAGAACTAATTTTACAGAGGGAGCTGAATTATGAACTTGAAATGTAGATGGAAAGGGAGGAAGACCAAAGCCTCACTCAGGATACATCATCATAAGGAAGTTGAACACTGAACTCACAGTCCTATTTTAGCCTTTAATTATTTTTTTTTAATAAATTACACTTTCCTTGCAAATTTCGTATAGGTGAATTATGAACTTGAAGTGTAGATGGAAAGGGAGGAAGATCAGAGCCTCACTCAGGATACATCATCACAAGTAAGTTGAACACTGAACTCACATTCCCATTTTAGCCTTTAATTATTATTTTTTTTAAATAAATTACACTTTCCTTGCAAATTTCGTAGTGATTCAAATGCAAAATTCATGCTTATTAGTATCTAAATATACGATACCCTGGGCTTAACAGCTAGAACTATGATAAATAATGTTGTAGGTTTAAATTTTTCTTTTCTGTGTTGTTGGACATTGTTTTAAGTTGTATATAAAGAATTTTGGTTGTCCTTCTACTTCTAGACTAACTACACCACTAGTCCCAGCATAACATAGTGTTTTAAATTGTGTATAAAGAACTTTGGTTGTACTTCTAGAATAACTACACCACTAGTCCCAGCATAACATAGACCACTTAAAAATGTAAAACAAAGCTTCACTTCAGTAACACAACTGCATCACTTGTTCCATTAATATAATGGGAACTGGAGAGGAACTCAAACTTAGCAACAGGCTTAGCAATATACTCCTGATTTTTGTTTTAAATCAACATATTGATGCTTGAACTATTAATGAGAAAGTGGCATCCTGTTTCCATAGAGGATGCAACTTTGAAAGACAACTTAAAAATATAAAACAAAGCTTCACTTCAGTAACACAACTGCATCACTTGTTCCATTAATATAATGGGAACTGGAGAGGAACTCAAACTTAGTAACAGGCTTAGCAATATACTCCTGATTTTTGTTTTAAATCAACATATTGATGCTTGAACTATTAATGAGAAAGTGGCATCCTGTTTCCATAGAGGATGCAACTTTGAACAGCTTTCAGTAGAAAATTAGACCAACTTTCACTGTTTTTCAAAACTGTCCTCCATTTCTAGACCTACGTATGCTGCAAGACTTATATATAACACCCAAAGCAGTCATCTTAGTTGATGTTTTTCCCTTTGTATGTACCATAAAGGACAACTGTTGTGATTTTCTATACTGTCCCAAACATAAACAAAAAGATGGCAAAAACATTACACTTGAAATATACCAAGTCATACAGTACCACAGAATGGCTTTTGTGAGATGAAAGGGTTAATCGCTGCTTTTAATTACACCCAAATAACTTTAATGAGAGTGAATCCTGCAGCAACATCTATAAACACAATGACCACATTAACAGAACACCAGTTATGAAACCCCTGCCAACACTGCTTGTACAGGGCTTTTTTTGTTGTTTTAATCAAGATATAAAAATCTTACCAAGTTCTGCTGTTTAGGGTGTTTGCAGAGCCCTGCAAAAAAATCTGTAAGACTAGGCAGCTTTAAAGAAAGTCGCATGCAGTAGTAACCATGACGATAAGAAAAATGCTTTTGCTAATCTTTTTCTTTCAGATTACAGTACTTTCAAATGCTGGTGGTTTCCCAACCTATTACAACTTTTGTTTGTTGCTCTCTCTGTGAATCTCAGCCTCTAGTCCTTGTAAACCCGAAACTTCTGACAAAGTGCACAGCAATTTGGGGTGCACTAGTAACACAGAATGAGTCCTAACCAGTCCAGCAGCATCTTCAGTGACCCTGCTAGGATGGACATCACTTGTTGGCAACTATGTCTTATTTCATTGTTGCACAGAATAGGTAGAAAAAAATTATTACATTTTTAAGATAATAACTTTGCAAGTAAATGGAGATACTTAAAAATAACAGAGAGGCAGAGTGTGCATAGAGTATTTCTATGGAGATCATAAAACTTCTGAGGTAGGTTAGAACCATAAACTTCAAGAAAACAGCCTTGAACCCATCTGCATTGGTTTTGTCTTGGTTTTGCATTCAGTTGGGGGTTTTAAGCCATAAAAGAACCATAATAAATACAGATTCTTCAGAAATTAATCTTTGTTCTCTATTATTTTTCCAGCAGACTTGCTCACCAAACTAGGGTAATGCTTTCAAAAGATGTTATGTGATTTGGATCTGAAGTCATATTTTGAAAAGTGACTAAAGGGCTGATTTTCAAAGGCATTAAGATACCTAAAGATGCATTAAGCACTTAGAATTTTTGAAACTTCCTGGGCATCTAACGCCTCTTTAAATCACTTAGTCCTTTTTGAAAATCCCAATGGGCAGTTATCTACATTTTATGTGTCTATATGCCTTTGAAAATCTGTACCATTAAATACTTAACAACCTAAGTCCCCCTGGCTTTTAATGAGACTTGGGGTCCTAAAAAGTGTAAGTACTTCTGAAAATTGGTCAAGCCACTCTCTCTGGTCTTTTTTCTTGTAAAAAGCCATCTACTAATGCTTATCCATAACATGTCAGTTAATGACAGCTTCAGCACTGTCAGACTTACGCATTAAACTGTCCACAGTCAATTCTTCTATGTAACTAAACAAATAAAGGTCCTGAGTACTGACTGCACCCTCATAAGACTTGCTGAAACTCCAAAAAATAAAATAAATTCCAACCTGCAACCCCTGGAATGCCTAAAAATCATTGTTTTAATAAATATGCTCCAAAATGAGTATAATTCAGGCTGATAAAAGGCAAACAGCATAATTACCAAGCAACTTACTCAAATTACTACAAGCAAGTTCTGAAAGACAGCCACACTGCAACAAAAACGTTCAGAAAAAAAAAAAAAAAAACTAGAAAAAGAAGGAAGTTGTGAATAGGCTCTTTAAATAGGCAGCAGTTCAAAAAAAAAAAAAAAGCAGCAGCCTTAATTCTGAAATTTCTTACAAGAAATATTTCTTCTTTAAAGCATTCCCTTATGCAAACATTTGAAAGACTGATCTTCTGATCTTCTATAATGTCAATGGGAGGTAACTCGCACTGACCACATTCCCAAAAAAGAACTGATTTGTAAATTAGGAACTCAGGGAATCAGATTGCCACCTACAGGAAAATTTAGCATTTATTGTCAAGAATGACTCAAGAAGAATACAAATTGCCATCCTGCCAAGCACTCTTTCAGTTTTAGTTATTATTTCAAAACCAATTAATATTTCCTTTTGTGCAACTATATCATGAACTTCCTAAATGCAGAAAGCCATTAACATTCCTTTTTATTTAAGAGAGTACTGCTTGAAAGTTCCATAATTCAACTACAAAGCAGCAGATTGTAATCATGTTTCAGTTAAAGAATTTTATATCTGCTTACCTGATACAATTGGTGCTAGCCTGAATATGTCTGATAGTCTGCTGTTAACTGGCTCATAGGGGGAATCTTCAAGCAAGTCATTTCCTAAAGACAAAAAAAAATTTATTATTTTAATACAAGGATGAGATTCTGTTGTTTACTTTTACTCTGAAATGAAGCTACTCTGTAACTGCAAAAGATGTTCTCCCCTGATTTGTGTGGCTATTTCTCCTCAAAGCATTATCTATAAAAACACCTGAAAGAAGCAAGTTGTTTATTCCTGTCACTAGTTATTTTCTCTTCTTCCTCCATGGATAAGGTCATAATTTGCAGAGACAGCCTGTGACATCACAGGGACTGTCCTATCTCAGCAGGAGCAAAGCTGTAGCAAGGATGTTCCTCTTCGTTCACCCCAACAGCAGAGCTTTTTCAGAGGAGCAGCCCATGTCACAGCCAAAAACTAGCGTGTTTGGAAAAAAACACTCCTAACAAGATGCTATTGGAAGGGAAACTTTTTATGATGCAGAACATGTCCTAAGAGTAAGGTAGTTTATTATGGAAGTCAGAACAAAAATATATACTGACTCATTAAAACATTCCAGCTGATGCCTGGATAAACAAACAGAAAGGGATTCCCTTTTTGCAGAAGCAGCAACAGAAAAGAGTTAAATGGGGACCACACTGAAGTAAAAGAATGCATCTTCAACTCCAGTGCCAGAGCAAAGCAGGGCTAAAAATGATATATCTCACGTAAGGACCTGACTGTTCTCAGCAGAGAATGGGAAATTTGCCAGCGACATCAAGAGCAGAAGCCCTGAGTCAATCACTGTCATATCCCTTCTAACTGGCACTTCTACACACTCCAGAAAGCACAAACTTCTATTTTTCTGCCTCAGCATGCCCAGGGAATATTGCTAGTAGATACAGGCAAGGAAACTATAATAAACTTTTCCTTAAAACAATGCTCCGCTTCATACTACATTTAACTTCCAGCAAAGAGCTAAGAAACTAGTTCCAGTGCCTTGTGATCTTGTTAGGTGAGTCCTAATTAAGGAGTTTAAATATTGTTAGGAAAATGTTCTCCAAATGATTGTTTTTGTAGCTCTTGCACTTGCTAATGCCCTCATCTTTTGACTGGTTTAGAGAGGTCAGCTGGGTCCCCTGGAGGAAACCCTCATTGTGGATTTCCCAACAAGGGGACAAGGAGCAGCAGCTGTTCTCCAGTGGGATGAAAGGTCCTCAGTTTGCAGCTGAAGAGCATCATGTAAATTACGGGGTCAGCCCCTCGGTTCAGGCTCAGCAGCAGCAGCTCGCTGCAGAATCACAGCCTGCATTGAGGGGAGCCTAACGTTTCAGTGTTCGGCGACGTACCCTGTAAGCTCTGGTACATGCTCCAGTAAATGCGCAGGCAGTTTTTCTCCTTCTTCATCCCCCTCTTACAGCGGCAGTTGTACAGAGATTTCTGCTTGAGGGCTTCCATGGCGCTTTTGCATTCGTCCTTGGCCTCCAGGCCCGTGGCCCGGCTGAAGTTGCTCTCTTTGCCGGCTACACACTGCCTCAGTGTCCTGTATTTAGTACTACAGCTCTGCTCCTTCAGACACTGATCGCTGGCTTTCACGCAGTCCAGGCGGTCCCCTCCAGGCAGCCCGCTCACTTCTGCGGACAGAAGTACATCTAGAGAGAGAGAGAGAGGAGACACAAACCAACAAACTGGGGTTGAGGGATGAGGCTGCTTTAACCCAGGCTCCAAAGCTCCATCTGGGAAGCACAAGGCACCTCCTTCTAGACAGCACCTTGCAAACCTCCCGGCTTCAAAAAAGCACACAGGGGTTTCGTGGTCTTAGATCCACTTTGGTGGGAGCCCAAGGAAACAGTGTGCTCTAACCCTGCCCGTTGATTTAGGAGAAAACGCCAAAAGGAAAGAAAACCCACAGGGGTTAATGTGCCTGACAAAACAAGCGTTCCTCACATCCACTTTGGTGAAACAAATAACCTTACCATTCCAGTGTTTAACTGAGGGGTTAAATATTCGGCCACACTTTCCACAAGAGCTTTGCTGTAATTTCAATTACATCCCCGAACAACCCGCTCGGAGAGATCACTATCCTCACTGATTGATATTAGCCTCTTTTTGCGTCAGTCACTTTTTAAAGGCTGTACACATTTTTGCTTATTCTACATGTATAAAGGTAGAATTTATGACACACTCACACACCCCCCACCCCTCATTTCTCTCCACGTACGATGCTTTTGCAGGAGAACAAAGCAAATGACATTAACTCCCTCCTCACCATCGTGCCCCCTGTCACGCTCCCTCAGCCACACGCAGATGGAAACGCAAACCTCTCCTAAGGAAAGGAAACCAATTTGGGCTGCTAACCACTTGCAGCTGGGCAGGCTGCCAGGGTCAGGTGAAGATGTAATCCTTCAGCTGGCTCTTGTCAACCCCCCCCCCCCCCCCCACCCACAACTGTTTT